TTTATACGTTGACTGTTTTATGAAGCAAATTCTTGGTATACAAGCAATAGTGTGCTGTCCAAGAAGAAGTGGTTAGAAAAAACATCTAATAAAAAATTTCGTATCAAAGGAGAAGGGGCAAAACCTAATTGATACATGTACAACTCTGACCGTAGCTTTTGCAATCGTCGCGGGTTGAAACCGGCCAGAACCGGTTGGACGGGTAACGGTAACCGATAAGATGCGGTTACCGTTACCGTTGCATCCCTAGTACAGCTACGAATTCACTTACATAATCTGCGGAGCAAGCGGGGAAAATAATTGCTTAAACTTTAAGCCGCTGACTACCACGAACTCTAATGAATCATATAGAAAATAAGAGTTAGAGGCAGTACTGACTTAGATACGAATCGTTCTTTAAGCTGCTAAAACAGAGATCCGACTGAAGCTTATGGTTTGTGAGGGAATGTCGTTTCTCTTGCTAACATCATGTTTCATTAGGTTTACGTTGTCATGTAGATAATTTTTATCAAACTATTAGTCATACTATACCTTTCTCCGCTGGCGTTTATCCTAATCTTAAACTTAGACTGGTTGACACGATGATGGAACGGAATATGGATTACAACAAAAACCAGTTTAACAAATCATCGCCATTACCGCATCGACATCTTTCAAAGAGCAAACAAAAGATTATGGACAGATCACCATCAGATACAAATAGTTTCTATGACTTGCAAAAATATCGTAATGAAAAATCAAATGTTATTAGTCGAGGTTGTAATACTATCCAAAATAATATTAAAACCCTACGACCAGAACAATTGAAATTAATCTACGATGATTTCGTTCAAGAATTAAAATTATGGTCAAATAATCAATCGTATGAACTTCTATCTCATATAGTTAGGGTCTTAGACAACGTTAATGATATGATATTAATTGATTCATTAATACTTAATCATGAATTTTATTTTATATTAATAAATACATTAAAAGATATACTGAAAAAATGGCAGAAGAGATATGATGCTTTATCTAAACAAGAATCATTTATATTTCGAAATACAAGTAGAATTTTATTTAATATGATCAGTAGTATGTCAGACAATAATGATATACTACAACAACAACAACAAAAACGACAAATGTTTCATCTGTTTTTAAATCAGAAATTTATTAAATCAGTTAAGAAATGTTTGGAAAATGTTGCAGTGTATGGAAAACACATAACGAATGGTAATAATTTCAAATATTTTGCAAAATTAATTGATATTCTAGCTGATTATCAGTGTGTTTTAAATAAAGAAGAACAAGAAAAATTATCCTCATTACTATTGAATTCAATTGTTAAATGTTTATGTTCAGAATATTATGTCGACGCATTTAAGCACTTACAATTAAAATCAAATTCAATGTCTGAAAACGAAAAGTTTTTTCTACGTAAATGTCCATCCTATCTGACATCATATGCAGGTAAGCAATACACTAGCACTAGTAAAGAAAAGCGGAGAGAGCAAAATCATTATATGTCTAGCACGCGTCAAAAGTACTCCACAGTAACCCTCGCTGCAGTATCACATAAAAGAAGATGGAACAGGATGTGTCAAGAGCGACGGTTGCGAAGGAAACAATGTTTTTCTATGTTTCTGTTATTTATCAAACTAAACTCTACCATATTTAATATCACACATTTATCAGAGAAGAGATTTATCGCTGCACAGCTTTTGAGATGACAAGTAAATATTTTGACTTGATTCTTCTATGATCGTTATATCTGTTCCATTTCCGAATTTTGTAGAGAAGGTCAGTAATAACTGCATGTAATACGGGGTAGAGTATCTTTCTGCTTTGTGCCGGGGAAGAGTTTCTTTCCAAGCGGCTGAGTTTACCGGTAGCGCTCAGTATCGCCTAGAGCGTTCGTACCTTCTCAAATACCCATGAATGCGCAGCCATGAATCTGAAATATTTCCCACAGAAGACTTTTAGAGGAACTGCAAGACTCTGTTTGCGCAAAGGTCAAAATCCATCGATTATATTCAGGTATGGATGCTCTTCTTACCCTTATGATTGAAACTATGTTAGAATATGTTGAAATAATCATTATTTCAGTTCTTAAAACTTTCAGAACAGTAGACTTTGAACTTTTATTTTCAAGTCAAATGAGCAAAACTTCTGAATATTTGTTTTGTTCGAAATATATCTGATGAAATGAACTCTTTTCTGATGTAGTTTTATTTAGCAGTAAAAGTGGCCAGAATGAACTATAGAACTAAACGCGTGAAGCAGTTCTGTTATTATTCACAGTCAAAACTTGATATATTTTTCAACATTTCTTTTCTTGCTGTGAGGAACATGTTTTGAAATTTCTTCACTGACATATTTGGGGAAAGCACGTTTGAATGCATATACGAACTCTCCTTTTCACTCATCAGAACCGATAGTAACATTAAAATTCTAAAACCTTGTTTTTCTTAAAAAAAGCGATCTCTTAAAGAATAAAATAATGGTGAATAGAGATATTCCAATACAGAGGGATGGACAACAAACTACCAAAAAACTTTTCTGCATCAAAATCTAGCCATCTTTCCAAAAAACTGTTCATACATCAAGTAATACAACATTATTCCTAAAGTTAAATGTCTTGCGTTTAAGGTAACGGACACGAAAACCTTTCAAATGTATTATTAAATGTGATGTTGTATCATTATGTTAAAATATTTCAGAAATATATACCAGTAATAAAAGAATGGAAACATCCAGTTAAACATTCGATGTACCATTTAATTGATATTCTTAATCATAGTGTTAGTCGATTTCAATCATATGTGACTCGTATCAGTCAATATTTATCAATAATTGACGGTCTTCTTGTTATATTAAATGAGCCGTTATTGTCAACTGAAAATGTAATGGAAAAGTCAACAAACATTGAAGTAATTCTTATCGAAAGTACAATTATATTGATGTTAAAATTGGTCTGTCATCCATCTATTTTGAACTATGTTAAACAAAAACAAGTGACACAAACATTCTTAAGTTTAACGAATTCGAAATATGATTCAATACAACTAAATGCTTATCTGATATTGGCTTGTGTGATGAATGAGGGTAATATATCAACAGTGGTTAATAAGGAAAAAATAATATCAAAAATACCACATTTTTTAAAATAAACAATTGAAGAAAACCGAAATGATTATTTAATAGAAAAATTAAAAGGTAATAAAGAAATACGTTTGTCATCTGTAGATAATATCTCTAAGACATTATGCTATACGGACATGCGCATAACTGATGGGATAAGAAAGAATAGTCTATTGAGATAAAACCGTCCATAGAAATTCATGTTGTCTGTCTGTTCTCACAAGGATTGCTGGTCATAAATGAAGTTACAGGGCACGGACTCATGTGTGAGTATTCCTATACTGACAAGTATCAAGTACATACCCTCGAGGCACTGACCACAATTCAAATGCGTAACGACTTGGCCAAACGAAATGACGTTACGACGACTTTAAAGTTCGTTATCTTTTAGGAAGGATAAAATTGTTTTTTAAATGTGTCTTAAAGCGGTGTATTACAGAAAACAATTTGAGCCCATTACGTTTAGTACAACAGACGTTATAGTGAATAATACACGGCGTGATAGAATGCACAAAATGGAATTTTTTTGATGGTTGGAGACAGTCCTTTAAGTTTTGAACTGAGACCTCTTGTAGAAAATCTTTTAATTGAAAAGTTGTAGCCAAACGTTTCAGCTTTCAGAACCTGTACTTTGTAATGTCAATAGATGTGTAGCTCACAAAAGAGGAGCCAAAGTATATTCTGAGATGGCATGTCGTCATTTTTTTTGCTTCAAGTACAGATGTTTATTCTTCGCTTCTTCCGTAGTAAATGTGGCAGCTAAGATCCGGTTTGGTTGGGTAAATATACAATTAAGTATCCTCTACACGGTGCACTCGAAATTAAAGTCAAAAACATGTTTTTGTTTTGTGTATAAATGATTACAAAAGGAGCTTCGTGACAATTTGCTCAAAAATCACGCAAAATTCGTTATTTTTCTGAAAGGCTTTTCCCGATATTGGTTCTTCATTTAAATAGTTCATCATGTAGAGAATTGAATTCTCTGCTTTGTGGGATAGTTTTTGCGGTTTTATAGTGAAATAAGTGTGTGGAAAAATTCAAATTTCAACTTTAAAAAGGTTAAATTTTGAATTCTAATTTAAAATTGATTTAGTTTAAGTTGATATTCGTATGCAGCATGAAAAAGTTGCGTCTGATAATGTGTATTGAAAGTCGAACTGAGGAAACCATTTTCTTTCAATCAGGCACATGATGGGGCACAGTTAGCTGACAAGCCAATAAGTTCTTTCTAAGCGCATAAACTTTCTCCGGAAGTATAAGCATTTTGAAGACGCGGGCAGATAAGCATTCTCAAGGCGTGAAGGCTTACAATTCTGAAATAAATCCATGTGTATTGTTAACACGTTTGGAGTCTCAAAATACGGAGTTCATGGTTGTTTGAGACTCGAAATAGCATTTCTCAACCGAAAACGTTCGAGCTCGTGTTGACTAAGCAATACTTTTTCTCGTTTTACTTCGGTGGGAATGTGAAACAAAAGCATGAAAATATTGGACTAAATATCGTGCGTAGTCTTTCTGTTGTTATATCGGACGTAGTCTAACAGCGTCGTAACATGTCAGTTTGAGATTCAGCAGCAGTACCGTCAGGTAAGTTGATAAATTCGGGAGAAAGTTGAAAAAAACGATAAAAATTAGTGGAAGATCTGCTCTATAAACTGATAAGATCAACAACTGATTTTGAAAAGAAGATTTTGCTTTTGGAGATTTGGTTGCCTAGGAACCAATCTTGAAAATGTTACGAAGTCTTCGTTATCACATTGGAGATAAACATCATCTCCACAGGATGCGATATGAACTGCAGCAGATGCATCTAGTTGAATTCCATTCACTTGATCAATATGCTACACTTCGAGAAAATGTTTTACCTAAACAATTTCATCGTTCCGACATATATTGAATAAAACTTACAATAGAATTTTACTAACCGGTGGTTTGATAAGTATCTTTTCCAAGCTGTATAGTGCGACCACATTTGTTCTTTTTCTGTTCTTTTGATTACACTAGCAACAATGCCTCTCTCTTTCTTTCTTTCTCTGTGTGGAGTACCACATCAATCACTTCCACACATAGTCTTCTTTGCTTATCGAAGTAAGAATAACACTCTAAACATTATCATTTCGTTGCTTACGCTCATAAATACAATTTGTATATTGTATGCTGAACGAGCGGTCTCTCGCACCCTTCATATCTAGCATATTAGTCAAGGCACACAGAGTATATCTTCTTGGTGAGAAGAGCGGAGAGAGGACATGTCACGACAGTATGTAAACGTAGTATTGTGGGATCTTCTTTCCCCTGAGTGTTCGACTGTGCTGAAAGAGAGGCAGAGACATTTGACATCTCATCTGTGCTTGACTATTGAGAGTGACGGAATGGATAGAAGTTTCAGATAAGAATCAGGCATACGCGACAATGAAACAAGATCTTTGATACAAATAGCAGAATCTACTAAGATTGAAATTCCAGCGCGGTTTTCATATTTTCAATGCATAATACTATTATCGTGCTGCTTTCTCAAATAAAACTCCTTGTTCTCCCACAGCCATTAATACATGTAAAACGACTCGCATCGATGAAGAATTGCGACTTCTGTTTTTTTTCTGGAAAGAGAACTCTATTCCTTATCCTGAATCAGCAATCAATTCCATACAGCATCACTTCAGAGACTGGGCATTCAAACACAACGTATTGTTGTTGTGCATGAATACTGCACAAGTCTAACTGATATGTTCTTCAACAGAAAACCTAATGGAATAGTGTTCATTGAAACTACGGCAAATTCTTGTAGATATTGGAAGGACCACCAAATATCCTGATCAGTCTACAAGGACATCGAACAGGAAGAGAATAAGTCAAAGACGCAGCACTAACCTCGAGACATTTTCATTGTTGTGGCTTGATGCGAATGTTGACTCCACAGCAGAGAACACAGAAACACAATTACAGCTACGTGCATCAATCAACTTTCTCAAGACATTCCACTCACCACATGCTTGTGAAGAGTACATTAGACAGGTGAAGGACGAGAGAGTTGTGTTGATTGTCAGTGGAGGATTGGGACAGCAACTCGTACCGAACATTCATCATCTATCTCAACTATCGGCCATCTATGTCTACTGTTTGGACAGAGAGAGAAACGAAAAGTGGGCGAGAAACTTCATTAAAGTAAATGATACTCTTCTCACTTCGGATAACATCTTGTACTCTCTCCACTTTAGATCAAAGGCGTATTCGTGCACTCGGATGAGTTAGTCAATCGAGTATCAACTGATCAGCGAGTTCGATCACAAACAGAAGAGTCAGTGAACAACATCGCTGTTTATTCAGCGAGAGATGGACAAAGTGGTCTTGGAGGCACCTTTCTGTGGTTTCAACTGCTCATCGATGTCCTTCTGCGTCTTCCTCATTCGACTAGTGACACCCAACAACTGGTCATCATGTGCAAGGAGAGCTATGCCGATAATCCACATGAAGAAGCGATGATTCGAGAATTTGAAAGAGACTATCGTCCAGAAACGAGTATTTGGTGGTACACTCGAGACTCTTGTCTCTATNCGAAAGTTCGCCAGGAAGAAGGGTGTAATTCGAGCCTATCGTGGTCAAGCAGTGGCGACAGAAGAGATGAACAAGTTGGGATATGGAGAAGGACAGTTAATTTCATTTAACAGCTTTCTCTCGACGAGTCTCAACAAAGATGAGGCGCTGATATTTGCACGTCAGATTGTTTCCTCTGACACTTTGCAGCGTGTGTTCTTCGAGATCAAAGTGGACACTCGACTCGAGACTCGTGCATTTGCTGATATTAGTGACCTGAGCTACTTTCAGAGTGAGAAAGAAGTTCTCTTTACTCTCGGTTCTATGTTTCGACTTGAGAATGTGATGTTCGATGAGAGAGAGGTGTTGTGGTGTGTCAAGCTAACATTGTGTAATGAAGATGATCAAGATATCAAGGAGATGTATGCGTATCAGAAGAAGAGTGTTGGTGGTGGAGATGAACAAGCCAGTCTCGTCTCACTTGGTCTAATTCTGTTCGAAATGGGTGAATATGAGAAAGCGAAACAATACTACACTCGTGTATTGGATGAGTTGAGCGATGATGATATAAATGTTGCTCTGTGTCATCAGAGACTCGGCGAAGTAAGTGCATCACAAGGAGAATATGATGTTGCACTCGATCATTTGAATGAAGCCGTGAAACTGTACAAGAAGTTTCAACATGCACATGACACACTAGACATTGCTTACTGTTACTTCTGGATAGGCGCAGTGCACGAGTACAAAGAAGAATATGAAACAGCGCTTTCTTACTTGAACAAAGATTTCGCTATAAAACAAGCGAAGCTTCCTGCTGATCATGTTCAAACTGCCATGACTCTACGTCAAATTGGTGCTGTTCACTATCGGCAAAGAGATTATGATTCTGCCTTGTCTTATCATCAGCGTGCTCTTGTCATGTACCAGAAGGTGTTGCCCCCGACTCACTTTTACATATCAGGTAGTCTGACAGAGACTGGCCATGTGTATTTCGGCAAGAAAGAGTACGATCGAGCTCTTGTTTATTACAATCAAAGTCTTCAGGTGGAGCGAAAGTCACTTCCACCCGATCATCCGAATGTAGCTACTACTTACCATTCGATCGGTTGTGTGTATGAAGAGAAGAATGATTTGACGAGAGCTCTGGAGTATTTCGAGAAGTGTCTCGCCATTCAAAAGAAATGTCTCCCACCATCTCACCCGTACATTCAAAGGGTGAGTGACGCTATCCGACGGGTGGAATCGAAGTAACATTTGGTTTATTTGCATGGACTTAGACACTTGTTTTCTTGTAGTTTTGTGCACTACTACTTATAATGACAGAATAGTCTGATCTCTTGACTTCTTCAGCATCTCAAGAGATTTGTATAGAAGCTGCTGCATCGCAGAGTCAGCCAGAAGGATTTCGATAAGTGGAATATTCTACACAGTTCTTTTATACGTGCATTTCGATGTTCGTTAA